ATTATTTCCTTTCCTCTGGTGGCTGTGGGTTTTTTTTGCTGTTCTCTTTCTATTTGTTTGAGTGGTACAGTTAATGTTTTGATTTTGTCCCTTTCTTCTTTTTTGATGTGTGCATCTATTACTATAAATTGGTTACAAGGGATGGGGGAGGGATACTAAATAGGCAATAGGTAAGTGGTATCTTTGGTGAAGGGTGAGACAGTACACAATACTGGGGAAACCAGCACAACTCGTACAAGGAAAGGTCATGGAAGCTCCATAGACACATCCTGAGGGACTGAATTGCTGGGTGGAGGGCTGTGGGGACCAGGGTCTCAGGGAACATCCAGCTCAACTGGCATAACACAGCTTATAAAGACAATGTTCTACATTCTACCTTGGTAAGTAGCGTCTGGGGTTTTAAAAGCCTGTAAGCAGCCATCTAAGATACTCCACTGGTCTCACCCCTTCGGGAGCAAGGGAGAATGAAGAGAACAGGATACAAGGAAAAGATTAGTCTGAAGGACTAATGGAACACCGCTACCACGGCACCTACCAGACTGAGTCCAGTACAGCTAGATGGTGCCCAGCTACCACCACTGACTGCTCTGACCGGGATCACAACAGAGGGTTCTGGACAGGGCTGGAGAAGGATGTAGAACAAAATTCTAACACAAAGAAAGAGACCAGATTTACTGGCCTGAAAGAGACTGGAGAAACCCCGAGAGTATGGCCCCCAGACACCCTTTTAGCTCAGTGGTGAAGTCACTTCCGAGGTTCACCGTTCAACCCGGGATTGGAAAGCCCCATATAACAAAACTGGACTAACGAAGCACAGCAGTCCAGGGACAAGGACTAGAAAGCAGAAGGGACAGGAAAGCTGCTGACAGGGAACCCAAGGTTGAGTAAAGACAGTGTTGACATGTAGTGGGGTTGTTAATCATTGTCATAGGGCAATATGTGTACTATTTAATGAGAAACTATTTTGTTCTGTAAACCTTCATCTAAAGTGGGAAAAGAAACACAACTGGAAGAACGTATTCGATGTCACTGAACTGTGCATGTAGAAATTTTTGAAATGGTGTATCTTTGGCTATGTATATTTTCACCAAAAAAAAAGCAAAAAAGAAGGTTGAGAAGGGAGAAGGTTAACATGTGGGGTTGTTAACCAATATCATAAAACAATATATGTACTGACTGTTTAATGAGAAACTATTTGTTCTGTAAACCTTCACCTAATGTACAAAAAAAAATATATATATACACTTCAGAAAAATTATAATTACAAAATCCCTTTAACCCAACAGTTCCACTTCTTAGAATTAATAATTCTACAGATACAGTAACATAAAAGCAAAATGACATATATATACAAGGTTATTTACTATATTCAGTGAAGTATTAGTCATAAAAGAAAAGATAACAAACAACACTAAAATTCATCAACACATGACTAACATGGTAAAAAAGAAAGCTCTGTACTGATGAAGGAAAGTTAAACTGTTCAGTGAAAAACATTAAGATGCAGAACAGAATGTATAACATTCACCCACTTGTTTAAAATTGGGAGAGAAAAATACATATTTGTCTATTGATCTATGTTTGTATATACAAAAGAAATCCACAAGGCTATACAAGAAAAGTATTAACAGCAATTACCACGGTGGCAATAAAGTTTTCAAAAACTAAGCAGATGTGGAACAGGAATAGGAGGGAAGGTTTTAGTTTTTAATTTTGAACAATGTAACTGTATATCATGGTTTAAACATTAAATTTTAAAATACATACACAGCTAGCTAAAGACAGTGCATTCTTCCCTCTTATTTACTTACGCAATTACTCTATTCTATGTCAGAAATACTTTAAAGTTGGCTGCCCAAAATGGACAAAAGCAATCTAGTAATAATTTTACTTTTACCTCTTTGAGTTTTCTCATCAGTTATTTAATTTTTATGGTATACCACCATTTCAGAAATCTCTGTCTACATATTTAATTATGTTACTGAGTTGTAGAAAAACATAACTTCTTTACCGGAAGTAAAAGTAGAGATGAAAATGAGAAACACACAAAGGTCTTCAGGAAAGCACAATGAAATCTAGAGACGGAAGTCAGCATCTCCTTATATTCAAACAACAAAGATCTTTAGGATGTTAAAATTAACATTCACTAGAGACATCACCTGTCTAGAGATATACAAACCAAAAAAAAAAAAAAACCAAGCCCATTGCTGTTGAATCGATTCCAACTCATAGCACCCCTATAGGACAGAGAACCCGCCCCATAGGGTTTCCAAGGAGCAGCTCGAGGATTAAAACTGCCGACCTTCTGGTTAACAGCCGAGCTCGTAACCACTGTGCCACTAGGGCTCACCAGAGATATACAGCAGAAGAAAGAAACAATTAAAACAATGGATTGTAGCTCTAACGAAGAAAACAGAATAGTGGCTTGTTTATCTAAAAATAATTTCTAGTATAAGCAACAAACTGTGTCCACCAAAAAAAAAATCAATACTTAATTAGAAGTATGTAGATCATTCTGTACAAAATAACCAATGCACATATTTGTCCAGGAGGTAGAAAAACTATATTTCAATACCAAAAGGATTTCATAAGTTATACCACTACAGTTAAAAATGTTTCAATAGTAAATATTATTTAATTCGATAAAATAATATGAACTATCAGATATTTTTAAATACTCACTATCCTACCTGTTTTCAATTAAAAAACTTTCAAGTTACTGCACTTACCCCCATTATCTGTTCTTTTTAAAGCTCCATCCTTATGGGGACATAGTTCACATCTCTATTAAAAAACAAAAAGAGAAAATGAAGAGATTTTTCAGAGTTCCACAAATACAACATCTTCCTCCCTTGTAACTTCAAAAGTACTTAAAAAGCGGAGCAACACTTTCTAGTAGCTGCCACCAAAAATATTTTAGAACATTTCTCACAAAATAATTCTTATCCTTGACATGTGATCTCTTCAGAGCACTAGATAACTTTAAAAAGGTAAATTTTACTTAACTTAAATTCCTACTAGAAAGCTTTCCTTTTTTTTTTTAACGCTATACTAATAAAAACAAAATAATTTCACATTTGCCTTTATCTGTGATCAGCTACAATTACTGCAGTCTGTTAGGCCTAGTTTCTCCTAAAATAATAAGCCAAAATCAGGAACTTAGAACTTGGATTGACATAGACAGGCATCATGATCTTACATGTGCTGACCTCCTTTCTGATCTATTTACTTTAGTTACTCTTATCATTAACAAACAATGGTACTCAAAAGTTATTGTGTCCCATCTCCCTACCACTCTCACGATTTAAAACCAGAAACAAACATAGGGCCAAGTACTACCATTTCTTTTCACTACTGGAAAAAAGGGCAGATATAATTATGTAAGTAATAAACAAATAAGTTCCAATAGCATTGTCTTAACTATAAAAAAAAAAAATGTTCCAGGAGGTCACATCTGAACATGTATTTATAGCCTACCTCATTCCCAAAAGAATTTTTATAGCTAAAAATATAGTCACATAAATAAAATCCAAAGGAAAAGTAAGAGTAGGAAAGTAAAATGAAATACTAAATGAGTACATCAAATGTAAGCCATGAAATCCTGAATTTCTTTTCTGTCAGTATTTCACTCTCCAGGATTTGCTGTTACCTCTTTGGCAGCACTTTCCGATCACCAGAAAAACCAGCTGCTGTCTAGTAGATTCTGACTCACGGCAACTCCATCTGTGTCAGAGTACAACTGGGTGCAACAGGATTTTTAATGGCTGGTTTTTCAGAAGAAGGTCTCCCGGTTTTCTTTCAAGGTACATTACATCTGGGTGGACTTCAACTCTCAACCTTTCAGTTAGCAGCCAAGCACTTTTAACCATTTGTACCACCTAGGAACTCCAAATACCTTATCTAATCTTTAAATATTGTAGTTTCTCAGGTCTCTGGCCTAGGATGCCTTCTAATTTCATGTTAAACACTTGACAATCTCATTCATTTCCAAAACTTCCATTAGCAATTAAAATACAAGGATATGTCTACTATGATTCCCAAATTTTATCTCATGTTCAGAGCTATCCTTAGCATTTCAGACCCAGATATAACACTTGCTATATTAAACAGATATTTTAAGCTCTGTCCGAAATTTATGATAAAATCTGCTCTTTTACCGTTTTACCTATCTTACTAATGACATTCACAATCACATTTGCTAATACAAAACACCTAGACATCATCTCTGACACCTCCACCCTACTCCCTAACGTCATTTTAATCAATTACTACGTATTCCCCATTCCTCCTCCTAAATAGTGCTGAGACTTGACTACTTCTCTCTACCTCCACTATTAGCCTAGTGCAAGCTAACATCATCTTTAATCAGGGCCATTTGCATGACCTCCTAAATAGTCTCTCTATATTCATTTTTAACGAACCCCCACCAATCTATTTTCCACAACAGAGTGAATTTCAAAAACCCAAATCCAAATATATCATGGCCCCATTTAAAACTTGTTCAGTGGATTCCCTACATAATCTACATACCATTACAACCTTCTCCTTTCTCCACCTCTCTGAGCCATACTTACTTCCTTCAGTTCCTGAATACTCCAAAGCCCATTCCTGCTTCAGAGGCTTTAAATAGGCTGTTTATAGTCTAACTGGAATAATGCCCTTCACCCCAGTCTTCTTTCAGCTGGCTAACTTCTATCCAGCCCTCAGGTTCTTGCTTAAAGTCACTTATTCAAGGAAGGGTGATTCTCTAAATCCAGAGATAAGGTTAGGTGCCATATAATGAATTATCTATACTTTCCCTTCATGGCATTTATCACAATCACAATTAATTATTTCCACAGTTATGCTGATCACCTCTGCTACACTATATGCTCCATTTCATGGCTATAAAAAGTCTCCTGATATGGTCACACAAAAAATGTAGTATGATGAATGGCAGGAACAAAAACACAAGCACACCTGTTAAAGGCAGGCAATAGTTTGCTTCTAAGTTATACAACAACCTCCCCTACAAAGGAAAACACTATTTCTTACATGATTTGTTTTCTGGGCAGAAAACAGGTGCTCATAAAAGCATAACTAAATCTAATATCAAGACTAAGACAGAAGACATATTTCTCCCTGGGAATAATTAGGTGTAAGAATAACTGTTCAGCAATTGGGTAAGAGAAAATTACATTTAACTGAACAACAATACAAACTAAAAACATCTGAAAAACAATTTCAATCTAAGAACTAAAAGCAAAAGTAATTAGTCAAGCTTAATGAATTAAAAATTTCCATAAAAGGAAAACACTAGAATAGACAATTGATTAAAAAGTAAATACTTAAAGCCTTTTTTAATTTAAAAAAAAAAACTAGATGCAACAAATATACAAGAAAACATTTAGCCTCACTTGTATTCAAAGAAATATAACTATAAAAATCAAAAAGAAACAGGCACTTTTGCTCATTCAGTTAGTAAAGTTTTTTTTAAAAATAATCCCTGTCAAGAGGAGGCGGGGCCAAGACGGCAGAGTAGTCAGATGCTTCCGGTGTTCCCCCTTACACAAAAAAGACACGAAAAAACAAGTGAATCAATTACATATGACAATGTAGGGGCCCTAAACATCAGAAGCAAAGTTGAGGAAATGGACTGAGTGGCAGTGAAAGGGAGACACGTTCGGAAGCAGCAAAGAGTTGCCAGACCTGACCTGAGAGCCTAAGCCGTTCAGCCAAGACCAGCTATGGGGTAGCAGCGAAGTAGGCAAGCAGCGGCACTCGGGAAGTGTTTTCCACCCTGGGAGAGACCCAGCAACAGTCTACTCAGGTATCCAGAACCAGTAAAAACCAGCCCTCAATCAGTGAAAAGATACAAGTACTTGCGTATGGCCTACCGCAAGGATCAAAAACACCCCACTTAGGGAAAAACCTCTCTCCCATTTACCTCCCCACTCCCTGCTCTGCACTGGGTCCTGGACCAGCTTCAGCAACTGCCGAGTCCCCTGGGCCACAAGTAGGAACCGACACATGCCCTGAGCCATTTTCCCAGCACTGGAGAGTGAACAAATTAACAAATGGTAAAAAATAATCTGCTGGCTTCCCTAAGCCAAGAACTCAGAACAGGCACAACTCCTTTGCCTAGGCACAGGCATAAGGGATCCACAGACTCTGAGTGCCTTTCCCCCTCCATAGACTTGTGGGCACCCCTTTCAACAACACAGGTCCTCATTACCACAGTACAAGAGGATATATACCTCAAGTCTAACTTCAACTGTTTCAGCTGTGATGTGGCAGGCTCATGACATGTGACACTGCTCTACCCATCAAGCAGGGTCTTCACCAACCCACATCAGGAGCCTAAGGACTGGTGGCTCCACCCACACCACCTAGTCACACTCTACAAAGGCCCAAAAATAAGAGGCGCGCCCCAGTCCTTACAGCCAACAGCACTGGGTGCTCACAGTTCAGCTGCAAAACCTGCCCATCTATGCGCTCTAGGGAAAAGGGACACGCTTTCCTCCTGGAAACTTAGGGGTGGCTGTTGGCCCCTGCCTTGCTCAGCCTCTCTCCCCCAGCTGCAGCCAGATGCCTGTGACTACACCACTTACCCATGACTGTCTACAACTGTAGGTGACAGCCTACACCACACACTTGGTGATCGACTACCTAGACCCCTGAGCTGAAACCATACAAGAAAAGTAAACAGACTCTTCGGCTCACGTACTTAGTAACAGATCTAATCAACTGGTGACAGGATGTCAGCGCTTCAAAGGCACCAATAATCAAAACTAGATCATACAAGCAGACTACTTGGGCATATGAAAACAAAAGACAACAAGAAGTTAGGACACAGTGAGTAAACATAAAATAAATAAATATAATAACTTACTAATGACTCGGAGACAACAGTCATTATCAAATCACATAAAGACGCAGTCCATGATGGCTTCAACAAGCTCCCAAAATAAAGAATCAAGAAATTTTCCTGAGAAAGAAAATTTCTTGTAATTACCAGAGGCAGAACAAAAAAGATTAAGATATAGAACACTTCAAGAGATTAGGAAGGAAATTAAGGAAAACGCAGAACACACAAGAGAGGAAATTAAGAAAAGAAGAGCATACTGACAACTGTAACAGGCTACAAGAATGCACAGAGACAGCAATCAGAAATCCAGAATATTAACAATAAAATGTCAGAATTAGACAACTCAGTACAACGAAACAGGAGCAGAACTGAGGCAGTGGAAGTCAGAATTACTGAGACTGAAGATAAAGCACTTCACACCAATTTACTTGAAGAAAAATTAGATAAAAGGACTTATAAAATGAAAAAACCCTACGAATCATGTGGGATTCTATAAAGAAGAATAACCTACAAGTGATTCGAGTACCAGAAGGGGGTAAATTACAGAAAATACAAAGAGAAATGTTGAAGATTTGTTGGCAGAAAACTTCCCTGATATCGTGAAAGATGACAAGGTAGCTATCCAAGATGCTCATTGAAGCCCACATAACATAGATCCCAACAGAAAGTCACCAAGACATATAATAATCAAACTTATCAAAACCAAAGACAAAGAGAGAATTTTAAGACCGGATAGGGATAAACGATAAGTCATCTACAAAACAGAGTCAATAAGAATGAGCTCAGACTACTCAGCAGAAACCATGCAGGCAATAAAGCAATAAGATGACACATATAAAGCTTTAAAGTAAAAAACTGCCAGCACAGACTTCTATATCCAGCAAAACTGTCTCTGCAATATGATGCCGAAATTAGGACATTTCCAGATAAGCAGAAGTTTAGGGAATTTGCAAAAACCAAACCAAAATTACAACAAATACTAAAGGGACTCTTCTGGTTACATAAACAATAACATCAGATAACAGCCCAAGACTAAAACACAGGACAGAGCAACCAGATATCAACCCACATAGGGAATTCACAAAAGCAAATCAAAGCTAAAACACTGAAAATAGGGACACATATGTCAATATGTAAAAGATGACAACATTAAAACAAAAAAAGAGGGACATAAAAAATGGAGACATAGATTTTTCATATGGAGAGGAAATCAAGGTGATATAAAGAAATAAAAGATTGGTATAAACTTAGAAAAACAGAGGTAAATATTAAGGTAACCACAAAGAAAATTAACAATCCTACACATCACAATAAAAAAAAGAAGAAAAATATAAAGACTCAGCAAATACAAAATCAATAATACTGAAAAAGATTAAAAGAAAACACATAAAGAAAAATGACTCAGCACAGGAAATTAAGTGGAAAAAAGAAACAGTGAACAACACACAAAAAAAGACATCAAAATGACAGCACTAAAATCATACCTACCAACAATTATGCTGAATATAAATAGACTAAATGCACCAATAGAGACAGAGAGTAGCAGACTGGATAAAAAACAAGATCCGTCTATATGCTGCCTACAAGAGACACACCTTAGATTTAAAGACACAAACAAACTAAAACTCAAAGGATGGAAAAAAATATATTAAGCAAACAACAATCAAACAAGACCAGGAGTGGCAATATTAATCTCTGACAAAATAGACTTTAAAGTAAAATCCACCACAAAGGATAAGGAAGGACGCTATATAATGATTAAAGGGTCA